TTTTTTTTTTTTTTTTCCTGCTGAGGAAGCTTCACCCTGACCTAACATCCATTGCCAATCTTCCTGTTTTTTTTTTTTTTCGCTTGAGGAATTATTCGCCCTGAGCTAACATCTGTGCCTGTCTTCCTCTCTTTTGTCCGCTTATGAGTGGTGTAGATCCATGCCTGGGAACCAAATCCAGGCTGCTGAAGCGGAGCACACCAAACTTAACCACTAGGCCACGGGCCTGGCCCCCAACCCTTTTAGATTTGTTGATGTTGTTAAAGTCAACACCTGTAGGAAGGTGGCGTCACATGGCTTTACACGTGACATAGTGGAGCCATCAAGGCAGGTGACAGTCATGTGGGCATGGCTGGGAGAATGGACACCATGATTTAGATAACCTAATTTTGTGTAAATTATGGAGTGTTTTTCCCAAACAATACTGCCTCAAAAAACTTGGAAACTGTGCTGTGTACATGAAGGTACAAAGCTGAATGGTCACAGGAAAGCATTTGTTTCAAACAGCCTTTAGGTTTCTGCTTAAATATGGGGAACAGTCTGATGTGGGGACTTCCACTATGTAGTCACAAACTGAGATAAGTTTTTTGCAGCAAATATAACAGCCATCTTTTCTCCTTTGTGTATCCTGCAGGAACAGCTTTCTCAAGTCCTTGATGCCATGTTTGAAAGGACAGTCAAAGTCAACGAGCATGTTATTGACCAAGGAGATGACGGAGACAACTTTTATGTCATAGAACGGTAGGAGATGGAGCTTTGCAATTGTCTGGCTACACTTAGTAAGATTCATGTTGCAGGGCAAGTGCTTTGCCCTATGCTTTGTTCAGCCCAAAGAGGACTTAGGGCAGGTGAACAAGCTTCCCAAAGCTTGCCCCTCTCTGTCTACTGCTGTCTGAGTCCTCAGTACAACCCATACTTGTGTTGCCACTATCCACAATAGAAAGTCTCCTTTACAATTAGGCAAGATGTGCAAGGTGTGCTTTATAAACATGTTATTTGCCAGTGTTCAAGTGAATTGATTCCCTGAAGAATAACTATGATGCTATATTGTCATCTGGAGCTTTCAACTCCAGCCTAATTTTATATATGAATACACTGCCTCAACCTCCATGCCCCTGGCCCCTTCTGGCTCTGTTCCAGGTGTAAGCCATTTTGGGAGACATGAAATAGTGAATTTGACCTGCTCGCCTTAGTGTGGCCCAACCTCTAGAGCTGTTAGTATCCTCTGGGGGCTCCTTCTGACCCCCTCTCAGTCCTGAAAGGAACTTCCTCACCAGAGTTTAAGATCAATAAGATGTTGCTTCATCCAATGTCTTCCATTAGTTGTTTTTAAATACTTTCTTTTGAAATCGTTTCAGAGTTACAGAAATGTTAGACAAATAGTACAAAAAATTCTCATAAACCTATGTTCCCCAGGTTAATGTTTTACACATTTACTTTATTAATTGTTTGAGAGTAAGTGGCAGGTATAATGCCCTTTTATCTCTGAATACTTCAGTGCATATTTCCTAAAAATAGGACATTCTGTTACATACGCACATAATAATTGTAAAAATGAGAAATTAGCATTTATACGCTTCTATCATTTACTGTACAGACCTTATTCAAAGTTTTCCAATTGTTTCCCTGATTGTTGAGGTTCTTTTTTTTTTTTTTTGTGAGGAAGATTGGCCCTGAGCTACCGTCTGTGCCAGTCCTCCTCTATTTTTTGTATGTGGGATCCCACCACAGCATGGCTTGATGAGTGGTGTATAGGTCTGCACCCACTATCCGAACCGGCAAACCCCAGGCCACCACAGTGGAGCACGTGCACCTAACCACTATGCCACCAGGCCAGCCCCTGTTGAGGTTGTTTTAATCTCTGTCAAGTAGCTGTACTAGATTCAGTTGGTCCCCTTTCTTGTCGAGCGTTGGCTCTTCCAGGTTCTTGAACAGAAAACATTTTCACTCCTTGGATAACCTTTGGACCCTTGATTAACTGTGACACATTATTATAATTAGAAGAAACATTTTATTTAGAGAATGATGATACAAATAATATCTTCTTAAAGATTTTTTTACTTTTATCTGTTATGCTTATGCTTCCTATATAGAATTCTATAAGTAGTGACAGAATAATTTTTTAAGTTGTATCACCACCTCCAGCAGCCACCTTTTCCCCTTGCTTTGCTATGTGCCCCTCCACCAAGACAAGAATCCTAATAGGCTTCTACAGTCTGAGAAATAAGCATCTACCTGCACATACCCATAGCTTAAAGGTTGAAATGCCTGTCTACAAAGGGAATGATTTGTTACACATGTAAATGAGAGGCATTATCTTTTGTATGCAGGGAAAGTGATTATTAACAAATTAGAAAGACTATCATTCAAGTAAAAAGATATGGTTCCTGACTTTAAAAAACTCGTTATCTAGTTGGAGAGACAGACCCTTAAATAGATAATTATTACATAGTATGGTGGTAACAACAATGATAAAAATATGTCCCATTATTTGGAAGAGGACCTGAGTGGGAGAGGTTAGGAAACCTCTTTGCAGCTGCCTGAAATGGTTTGTGTAGTTCCCAAAATTAAGTAGCTACTGTCTCCTGGAGGAGAGACTAAAAACACATAAGTGAATTTACTCTTTTTTTTTTTTTAAAGATTTTTTATTTTTTATTTTTTTTTATTTTTTTCCCCCCAAAGCCCCAGTAGATAGTTGTATGTCATAGCTGCACATCCTTCTAGTTGCTGTATGTGGGACTCGGCCTCAGGATGGACGGAGAAGTGGTGCCTCGATGCACGCCCGGGATCAGAACCCGGGCCTCCAGCATCGCAGCGCGCGCACTTAACCACCAAGCCACAGGGCCGGCCCAGTGAATTTACTCTTAATTCCGTGTTTCCCATTTATGGCGTCATTAATTTTGCTTTCTCCACCAGGCCTAGTACAGGACAGCTTCTTCATTGAGTGGTGAGCTCCCTCCCCAGCAGGGTTGGTGCCAAGTAACTGATACTTGAGTGATTGGTTTTATTCTGTGCTTCTTGTGTAACCTATGATACTTAGTGATTTTATCAGACAAGTGGAGGCTCTTTGTATAAAATGTAGAAAATAAAAACAGGAAAGAAAGTAATTTAGCCATAATTTCATTACCAGAGTGTATCCTTTCATTTTTTTTCTATGCTTTACCATTGAGGTCAGATCCATTACCCCAGATTTGGTTCAGATATCAAGACTGATGATACCACACACACACTAAGAGGGTATGAAAAGGTTTATTACTCACATAATGAGGCTTTTTAGGGAGAGCAGGGCAGGGTCCCAAGGAGGTCCAAAAATGACTTGAGGGCCAGCCCTGTGGCTTAGCGGTTAAGTGCGTGCTCTCTGATGCTGGCGGCCCGGTTTCGGATCCCGGGCGCACACCGGCGCACCGCTTCTCCGGCCACGCTGAGGTCGCGTCCCACATACGGCAACTAGAAAGCTGTGCAACTATGACATACAACTATCTACTGGGGCTTTGGGGCGAAAATAAATAAATAAATCTTCAAAAATGACTTGAGACAGCAGGGAGGAGTGACTGACTTAGAATTTCATGGTGGTTAGAGGGTGGGGCTGGGGTATTCTTGTGCATGGGCTGGCACTTGTGTTGTTTGAATTTTCCATCAGCAGTACAGGAAAGAGCACCCACACTTTCATATCAGCTTTTCCAGAAGTGAGACAGAAGAGAAAGGAGGATTGGAGTGGTAGGGCTTGAAAGTTATTAACAATCAAACATCAAAAATGGATTTGAAGAGACTGACGTCAGCATCATGGCAGAGTGAGTTGTTCCCTTAGTCTCTCCCCTTTAAGTTACAACTAAATGGACATTCATTAACCAGCAGAGGACTCTCTGCACAGCACAACAGAGCTTCTGAGAGATCCACACAGCTGTACATCTATCTGAAGGTGGGTGGACTGGATCCTTGGGAGGCAGTGGAACTAAGTAAGTGCATCCATCCCTCTCCCACTCCACGGCAGCAGAGAGCCAGTTCGCAGATCCTCATGCAGCAGCCACACGCAACTGTAAGAGGAGGTGGAGGTGGGGACAGCCTGGCCTCCAGGAACGCTTTCAGAGTTGCAGCCCAGCCCATGGGAGTGCCCAGCTTGCTGGAGCGGCCCCCCACCATGGGAGTGCTCTACACTGAGTGGTGGCGGCTCAACCACCACGTGGGTGCCCCTCCCCCCAGTGCAGTGCAGACGAGGAGGCACCCGCCCACTTAGAATGCGCCCCCGTGTGGGGAGCACAGCAGCCTGGAAGGTCCACCAAGTGACAGCTCAGCCCCCGTGTGGCTGCCCCTCGCCCTTAGAGCAGTGCAGGCGTGAAGACACCCCGCCTGCTCAGAAGGCACCCTCCCTGCAGAGCACAGCAGCCCATGGTACCCACCGAGTGCAGCTCAGCCCCTGCACAGGTGCCCCTCCTGCCTAGCATGCAGCAGTTCAGCTGGTCCCCTGCCAAGCATAGAGGCCCTGCCTACAGAGCTCAACCCATCTGCCCAGGGCAGAGGCACTGCCCACGTGAGCACAACCTGCAGAATGGCTGTGGCCAGCCTGGGAGAACGCAGAGTAGCCCTACCCACACAACTTCCAGCAGATGGCGCGGGATCAGAAAACACAGCTCCTGCCTGGTCACCTGCGGTGGCAGGTGGAATCTGTGACCTGATTATACCACAAATGTGCCAGCAAAGGATCATTTTATCAAACACCATGAAGAACTACATTAACACTTCAGAGCAGAAGGAAAATGACACGTCTCCAGAAACCAATCCTGAACTCACAGAAATTTACAATCTAAATGACAGAGAATTCAAAATAGTTATCATAAAGAAACTCAGTGAGTTACAAGAAAACTCAGAAAGACTGTTGCATGAGCTCAGGAATAAAATTAACGAGCAGAAGGAATACTTCACCAAAGAGATTGAAACCAAAAAAAACTGAACAGAAATTCTGGATATGAAGAATACAATTAATGAGATTAAAAAGAATCTAGAATCCATAAAAAATAAAGCTGATGTTATGGAGGACAGAAGAAGTGATTTAGAGGATAGAAATTTAGAGATGCTTCAGGTGGAGAAGAAGAGAGAACTAAGATTTTTTAAAAATGAAGAAATTCTTCAAGAACTAACCAGCTCAGTTAGGAAAAACAGCATAAGTATTATAGGTATTCCAGAGGGAGAAGAGAGGGAGAAAGGAGCAGAGAGCTCCTTTCACAGAAATAATAGTTCTAGAATAGAACTAGTTCTATTAGAATAGAACTATCATAGAAATAATAGTTCACAGAAATAATAGCTGAGAACTTCTCAAACCTGGGGAAGGAACTGGACTTACAATACATGAAGTCAATAGAACTCCTAATTATATCAATGCAGAAAGACCTTCTGCAAGGCATATACTATTAAAACTGGCAAAAGTCAATGATAAAGGTAAAATATTAAGGGCAGCAAGGCAGAAGAAAATAACTTACAAGGGAACCCCTATCAGGCTTTCAGCAGATTTCTCAGCAGAAGCCTTTACAGGCTAGGAGAGAATGGAATGATATATTCAAATACTGAAAACAAAAACTTTCAGCCAAGAATACTCTATCCAGCTAAACCATCCTTCAGATACAATGAGGAAATAAAAGGTTTCCCAGATAAACAAAACCTGAGGGAATTCATCGCCACCAGACCTCCCTTACAAGAAATGGTGAAGGAACCCCTCCTACCTGTAAGAAAAAAGCAAAGATTTACAA